TGTGTTGTTCAGTTCAAACCCACCCACTGCCAGCCCTCACCTACCTTCCTTCCAGACTGAGCTGGAGCTCATGAGGCCTCAGACACACTTAATGGGATTATGGTAATATAATTTTGTGACGCTGACCTCGGGCCGGTGCCAGGTTTCTTCCACATCCTCAGACAAAGGCACGGAGCTCACCAAGGGTTCCAGCGGGTTGGCCCAGCTCGGCCTCTTGGCACAGGCCGACGCCCTCATGGGGCCAGCGCAAGATAGATGGCTGTGGGGCAAAGTCTCACTTCCTAAGTCTACTCCAGCAGTGAGCAAAATCAAATGGTTCAAAAGATTATAAACTTGAATAAATGTAATTTCCCATGAGTGACTTGACGCCGGTGACTGTTGTTCGTGTAATTCTTCTGATTTTAATGTGAACAATAATCAATACGATTCAGGGTGTAGGAAATGTGTCCTCCCTTCGCTCCCGACTCGAATCACCACTGAGTAGTTCTTAAGCTGAGGGTGTAGCTTCCATGGAGACGGCCTTGTGGTCAACTTGTCTCTCCATGTGATTTAGCAGGGGTTTCCTCCACTGGATGTGTCTTATTGGTTTAAGAAAGAAAAAAAGAATTTTATGGACTGGACAATTTAAAAGCAACTCAGTGTGGGGGTCAATTCAAACTGTCCCTGTAGGTAATATAAACAGGGGAATGATTGCCAGTGGTACAAATATACTAAGAACACACAATAAACTCTTTATGTATACACTATTATGTTTGAAACACAAACAAAAATCTGGATATGATTTTATGGTCATTTTATAATCACATTTTTGCCTTGATTAGACACCAGTCTGCAATGTCAGACTGTTTTCCCTGAAATATAGAGACAGGCAAAAGAGATATATACACCAACACACACAGACACACAGTCCAGCAATTAGCACAGGGTACTGTATGCTTGCCATATGTTAAAAGGGCTGTTTGTGCTCTTCATCTCGTTTTGTCTCATTTTACTTTGTTGTGTATTTTATTGTTGTCCAGTCTCCATGGGTGTATCACCAGATTTTTTTTTTCCCCTTTTCCTTTTCTTTTCCTCTTCCTTTTGCCCTCAGAAAGACCACCCATAGGGTTCGGAGGGGGCAGACGTCTCTGTGGAATAATAATGGGGTCGTCCTGGGAAAATTGCCCATGGAAAGGCCTGTCTGAAAAAAAAAAAAAAAAGGAGAAAAAAAAAAGAAAAAGAAAAATTTGGTCTTGTTTCCGATCCCTCTCGGAAACATTCATCAGGGCACTCCTGCTGTTTGGAGGGGAGCAGTCCCATCACAGCCCCAATCCACTGGCTGGGTCACTCCGCCACTGCCAAGACTCTCTGAGCCGAGGTCAGCGGGCTGGGGCACATGCTTTAGAAAGATGTTCTTTATTTGCCTCGCCCTGAACAGATTTGCAGTGATGATAGGTGAATATTTTGCACAGACTGAACATCTGATGTTGTATAGCTGCTTTGAAATTTCTCAGAAGTCATAATCAGACAGCATCTGCTTTGTGACATTGCTGGAACTTTTATCTTTTTTTTTTTTTTTTTTTAGCAAAGTTACAGTATGAAACATATTAAATTTATCACTATGCCTGGGCTGCTACTCGGCAAGGCTGTCTATGGCAACAGGAAAGCCCAACAAATGAGTCAGCATGGTCTCAAACAGGGAAAGCCTCAATACTGATGTCATTTCTTGACCATGTGCATAACAGAGTGACACATTTTTCTGATGAAATGCATTGAAAGTGGCCACCATGGTTCCACTTCTTTTTTTTTTTTTTGTTTGTTTGTTTTTTTTTTTCAGGCCAGGGTGGCAAGATTGGTCCTGCTACACTACCTGTATTTCACACACATGAAATAGAAATAGTTTTTAGTTTTTTTTTTTGTTTAACCTTTATCCTTTCTACACTGTCCACTATTCGTTTTATTAGAAGTACATATATGCACACATTTGGTTTGATCTTTCATGGAACCTTGTTGTTTACATGAGGGAAATTACTTTCAGAGAAGGGATTATGTAAATAGTGACTGTCAATAGTTCTTATCATTCAAAAACTTAAATTTTGAAGGAATAATTATTCCCTAAAAGCAATAATATGATCACCTGATTTTAGTTTATCTGAACTCATGATTGTTTCTTGAGGAGCTGGACTTGCAAATGTAAACCTTTCACATTTTCCCACGCACACACGCCGCTGCCAACAACCTGAGAATGAAACAATTCAGCAAAGCTGTTCTGGTCATTCTCTGAAACTGGAGGAACATGGACCTGTGTTTACCAGAGTCGACTGTTTCCTTGTTTGCTGAAAAGAAATTGATGGCTACAGCTAAACTTTCTGTCATCAGTTTCCATCATGAGCTAATCATGTTCTGTGTACTGTGTTACTATATGTCCGCACCATTGTGGTTACTATCGCCAGTAGTTTGAGTGAGGCAAGATTTTATTTTTACATTAAAGGGCCCATATTGTATAAAGTGAGGCTCAGAGCCTCTCTTCTGATTGGCTGACCTGTTGTTGCTGGAGCTCCCAGAGAGTAGATGTAAAACTACAGTGAGATAGTCTTTGGAACACAACACAAATGTATCTTTTTATGGATATCACAACAAATAAAACACTGGAAAAGTGTAAAATTTGGGACCTTTAAGTGCTGCTCCTAACAACTGTAACATTAAAGTCTGAGTTAAATGTGCTCCCCAATTCTCCTCAGATTTTTTTGTGTTGTTTTTTTGGTCGTCTGTGGTGTTTCAGTTTTGTTGAATAAATTCTACTTTGTATTCTCTTTGAAAAACAGAGAATCTTAATATTATCTCAATATTTCAGTCACTAGCTTGAAAGAAAAAAAAAAAGTGGATTGGTACAGTTCCTATGTCCTTCCCTTGTGATCCCCCCTCTGTTTTCCTTCAGGCCATCACTAACTGGCCTCCCTTTGCCCTGTCAGGCCCTGAGGCCCTGCTGCCTGGCTGCTTCGCTCCGGGTCTGGACCACTGGAGATCCATGTGATGGATGTGCTTCGGGGGCTTCTCTGTGGGGGGCGGGGAGCTCAGGGGCTTTGCACACTCTGCCTGCTTTTTACTGTCATAGGGAAAGATGTCAGCATTCATATTTAACCAGAGACAGCAGGAGGATCAATGTCTTGTCATCAGCACAGCAGGCTTAAAAGTAACTTCATATTGATGTTTTTTGTTGTTGTTTTTTTCCCTATATTTTGCTTCAGCTAGTTCCTGAAAGTAGCATTAGTCAGAAGAGGAAGCTGGAGCAGAGAGACAAAGAGGAGCATAGTAAACAACTTCAGACCGCAAAGTTCAGGGAAAAAACACACTGAATAGAGCATTTTATTGTTTTAACTGCGTCACATTAGTGATAGTGCCAGGACTGAAGACAATAGTTAAATTGTCAATGCCAACTTGAAACCGCAGCTCTAAATGTAGATATTGCAGTCCTGCTTATACATGTCATCAGTCTGTGATTGTCAGTGAATTCCATGAGGTATTGTGTGTTGAAATTGTGTAATTTCCCTTTTAGTTGTACCCACATCCCCACAGCTTATACTTCAATCTCAGTTGCAATTACACTTCTAACAAATCCCAGAGCATGAGCGTGAACTACAAGTTGGCATTTTAAAGTGTTATCCCTACTCTGATATGATGGCATATGAGAAAAATGTTACACGACACGACTTTTACTATTCTGAAACCAGAGAAATAGAGATTTAGTTCACTAATTGGAAGGTTGGTGGTTCGATCCCCGGCTCCTCCGGTGTGTGTGTTAGAGAAGCGCCATGTAAGGAACAAGCTGTGTATGAATGTGTGTGTGAGTGGGTGAATGTGACCTGTGGCTTTGAGTGGTAATTAAGACTAGAAAAGGGCAGTCCATTTAACAAGTGTTTGAAATTTTGCACTCAGAGTTTAACATCTGCTACTAAATAAATTAGTATGATCAATAACTTTTCAAGGTGTTTTGGTGCAACATATAAAGTGAAAAAGGAGAGTGCATCAAGAAATTTTGGGAGGAAAATACTATAGTGTTACAATGAGGAGTGGCAATGGTTGGCGATTCTAATTATGTGATCAAAACAGTGTTTAATGGTAATTTGTCTCATTCTTTGTGACAGTTTTGCTTAGAAGGTGGATCTCGATGACATAATGTGATCGTCATATTTCCACATCATTATGCAGTATAGATGTGTTGAGCCAAAGGGTTAGTGTAGCCTTGTATGATGGAGTGTAGTTGATGGAGGTGAGCTATAAAAAAAAAAAAACTGTCCAGTCATCGCAGTGAGATGAGGCGCAGCGGTGGGTGGCGGAGAAAGGTTCAGTCCGGTTGATGTGAAGAAAGAGACGTCATCTGTGAATGTGCCTCAAATTTCAACACAAAGCTATAGTACCTGATTGTGTTTACACTGTCACTGATTTATTAAGGTCAGCTCTATTCCTACATTACTTGGCCAGTGATGAATAAACAATATGCAATGTCTAGTTTGTTTCTTTAAGCCTTCGTGTATACAGGCAGGGGGAGGGGTGTGGACATACATCTTCTCAGTAGGCCGTGGTAATAACGGGCCTGTGACCTCACGGTCTGAGAAGCCAGGGGCAAAACCTTAACTTTACCAAACTGCTGCAGTTGGTAGTCGACAAGCTGGCTCCGATTCGTGCAGAAATGAAATTACCTGCGTCACATTGAAGCAGTCTTTTTTATTTCTGTTGTTTTTTTTTTGTTTGTTTTTTTAGCGTATGAGTTGGATGAAAACTGTTCAGACTGTATAAAACATCTTTTTTTGCTGGTTTTCTCTCAGTGGAGGGTACCGTTTTCTAACTGATCTTTGGCACACAGAGGACATAGGGGATCAGCACACATTGCAACAATTGCTGTGAACTATTCAGATGTTGCTGTGTGGAAAAATGCTTCAAATTAATGGCACAAGACGGTCACATATTTCTCAGTGTTTTGTTTTTATTGCAAACAATATAATACAAAAGATAAGCTTTTAAGACAATGGCATGTTTACCTAGGGAAACTGCATTAAGAAGATGACAAAATGAGAACTAATGATACAGAATATAAAATGAGGAACACAACTTTTTTTTCAAAAAACAAAAAGTATCCTGTTGATTCCAGCAAATTCTTTACAAAACAGCCGCAGCTTTCCATATCCATTAATTCATTTGTTAGAAAGGAAAAAAGAGACTTCCAGTTTTTCTATTTTTTTTTCTTTCTTTTTTTTTTTTTTGAGAAAGACTCATCGTGTAATTATAAGTAATCTGTACATAACTAGATCACGAATAAAAGAAACTTTTATACGGAAACATTTACAAATGATAAATAAACAAATTTGTACCACATATGTCAGCAAACTATTCCACTGAAATCTCAGTTAGCTGCTGCTGAATTTAAAAGATAATTGCAAATAGTTATTTTCAAATAAAATTAATGCTAAAGAATAAATTAAGAAAAAGGTTAGGAAAAGGACAGGGCTGTTGGAATGACAGGAGCACGTCTGATTCAGACCTGCTGGCTGCTGAGGAGAAACGGGTCAATGGTCACTTCCTGTATTCCCTCGAGCAGGAAGTCAGAACCGTGCTGTGGTTTCGACACTGCAGTGCCAGTGGATGGAGCCTCTCTACTGTGGCTCCAGAGGCACCAATGGTATCAAGGCAGTACCCAGATAAAAGCAAGCATCGCTCAGTTACATCTAGCAACACAGTAAGGCCCCTAGTAGAGTTACATGGCACCTGCTATAGCATTTCCGACACAATAATTTGAGCTAAAGCAAAGAAGAAGAAGTAGAATATTTGACTAATTCACTGATGACACAGTCATATCATGGCCAAAAATTCAAATCTATTTCCAACGTGCATTGCTCAATTCTTGCATCTCATGGGAATTACAACAGAATATGTACAGTACAAAAATTCAAAGCAGAATGTAGGCTATTATATGACGGCAGTGTCAGTAAACAGATGTTTCTTACTTCCTGTACAAAAATACATTAGTGAGAAGTAAGGCCACTGAGGGTGTTTTTACTCGGCATTCCTGCTCCTTAAATGTGTTAAACCTTCAAATGGGGATGATGAGGATGCTGATGACACTGATTATAATGAAGATGGCAAGAGCAGAACACATACACAGTACATACTAAAATATTTATAACCAGTATGTCCTCACAGAGGATTTAACTTTTTTAAACATTATATCTAAAAAAATATAATCACAATTCCAACCAATACAAAAGGCACTGTTGTGAGCCAATCCAAAGATATATTTTCAGTACTATAAAAAAGTCCTTGTCATGTTTTTCTGTTGGCAATGAAGGGTGTGTGGCATGGTGGCGCAAAGGCCGCCGGGCAGAAAGAAGTCTACTCGTGGGGTGAGTGTTGTACAGTCAGTGCTGAGGCTGCCTCCTCACGGCCTGGACAGCTGTGTGTAAATGGGCTGCTGGTCCCAGTGCTGCGGACTGTGGGTCTGGGGCACAGACGGCACCCCGGTGGTGTCGGCAATCGGGGTGTACATCGGCCTCTGGCTGGGGCTCATGTAACTGAAGGTGGAGTATAGGCCGGAGCCTTGGCCAGCCGCGTGGCTGTAGTAGGAGTTGGCACCACCTTGGTGGTCTGAATAGTCATACTGTGCTCTTGTGATGGAGGGGTAAGAGGAGGGGCTGTAGTGCTGCAGGTTGAAGGACCCATAGGTGATGTGCTGCGGGGAGCCTTGTTGCTCGCTGTAGTGACTCGGGCTCAGCTGCTCTGTCTTGATCTGGGTGGTTCTTTGTTGACCTTGCTGGCCTTGCTCACCTCCTCCACCCAAGGTGGTCAGAGAGTGCTGCTGCTGCTGCTGCTTGGACATCCAGGTGTGGGCCCCAACACTGGCTGCCTGGCCGACTGAGGAGCCGCTGATGCCATAGCTGCCAGTGTAGCCAGCCTGGCCCGCGCTGGTCACCCCAGCATGGCTGTGAGGCGGCAGGTACTGATCAAACTCATCAACATCAAAGCTCCCCATGTTGGAGATTACATCGCTGCTCAGCTCGCCAATGTCCACGGCTCCAAAGTCGATGTTGAGCTGGCGACTGGTGCCCTCCTGTATGGGGCGGCCCTCACGCTTCAGGTCAGCTTTGCTGGAGGGGAGGTCTGTCTTGGGGGTGGTTGGGGGTGTTGGTGGGCCCTGGGATTGACCTGGTTAGAGGAAAGGTACAGTTAGTTTTACAGTTAAAATAAATTCACAAAATGATCCATCTAAAAACAACATTTCCAGCATGAAGAACTTGCACTAAAGTGAGATACCTAAATGAATGTACATGCTTCCAGCAGGAGGACTTTATTGGCACTAATCTGACAGGTGTATTTGCATGATGGCTTGTAAAACCCACTGATCATTAATCATTAGTCATTAGCAGGTGTCTGTTCAAGGCCCTCAAGCATTCTAAGATTTGATTTCTACAGAGTGCCAATATGAGTCACTTTTGAAAATGAGTTAAAAAAAAATAGAAAACGTCTATAATCCGTCTATTTCATTTACTTATTATTATCTCTCTTCTCTTACCTGAGTGTTCTCCTGGAGAGTGCACCTCGCCCATGCTAGACGCCGGAGAATCGGCCTGCTGCAGCGCCTTGAAGATCGCATTTGGAGATATGTGCGTTTGCTCGCCGTCCTCGGGCTCGTTTTGACCGTTCTTGACAGATTTTCTCCGCCTTGGCTGATATTTATAGTCAGGGTGATCCTTCTTGTGCTGCACTCTCAAACGCTCTGCTTCTTCCACAAACGGACGCTTCTCTACTTCGTTGAGCAATCTAGAAAAAAAAAAAAAAAAAGATTTGCACATTCATGTTAAAATGCATCCAATCAATAGACTAACAGAGCATAAGAAATGGTCGATTAGTTGGTGCGATGTACGGAATCACTACGTTAATTGTTTCGCTATCAATAATCGGTAAGCAGCAGCTGAAAAAGTTTGCGTATCCTCAGTCTGTACAACTTATTCTGCACACACGCGATAGAATCAATACACGCATGCAAAATCCTAAACCCTAAACCTACATGAAAAATACACTTTGAAAAGCATTAGTCAAATATGCAAAAAGTAAAACTCTACTTGAAACAGCAGGTGGTGCATTTCATCTAAAAAAATAATAGAGCGCTGCACACAGGGAGCGTAAAAGCGCACAGCAAAAGTGATTCAAAATGCGAAGCGAACCTACCTCCAAAGTTTGCCCAGAGTTTTGCTGAGTTCCGCGTTGTGCAGATGCGGGTATTGATCGGCCAGCTTCCTCCGTGCGGCTTGAGCCCACACCATGAAAGCGTTCATGGGTCTTTTGACATGAGGTTTGCTTTTACTCGAGCCGTTGACGCGCACCGGCATGGGCACCAGCGTCCAGTCGTAACCCTTCAACACCTGGGACACTGCGTCTCTGATACAGACGGGGAACTTTTCCTCTTCGCCCTCCTTCTTGTAGTCTGGACCCAGGAGGAGGTGGTTGTCGGACGGCCGGGTGTTCTCAGTGTCCGAACCGGACCCGGACGGGCACGGCGAGCCTGCGGAATCCTCAGACATGCTGGGGCTGGGAGCGTCAGAGTGACACTTCTCCTGTTCTTCTGTCATCTTCAGGTAGGGGTCGAGGAGATTCATGCGAAAAAATGAAAGAACAGCTTCTCGCAGTAAAAAAAGAAAAAAGAGGAGGAAATCCTTCTTTCTAAATCCAAGTGCTGTGCCCGAAGACTGCAGTGACAGCCTGCGAGGGCGCACAGCTTGACTGGCAAAGTTGAATCCTTGAAAGTAAAAAAACAAAAATAAGCCAAAAATAAAAAGTTTTTGACGCTCCTTCAACTTTTCACAACTTCACACACAAGAAGGCAAAGTTGCAAGTGATCGCTTTCTAATGCTCAACTTTGAAACTGTGACTTAAAAGAGAAATGTGACTGAGAGCTCTGCTCGTGGAGGATAGCTGAGGAGTCTAGAGACACAGGAGGCGATGCCTGGATTTATGTTTGACGGCAACGAAATGATTGGGGGAAACTTTTTTTGGAGGCGGGGACGTAATATGACTCTGCTTGCAGTCAACAACAGTGAAAACCCCGTTCAACCAGAGAAGTGTTTTTCCCCTTTATAATCTTTGTTTTAATTGAAAGTTTAGAGTTTAAAAAGCTTAGAATTAAAAGTTAAAATGACGACCTCTGAGAAAAAAAACTGTAGTTATCTTACTACAAAATAATATAACGATTTGAACCATTTTAATATAAAAGTGATATCAGGGGAGAAAAAAACTATCCTGTGGATTTTCTCTGATCACAGACACAAAGTCCTTATTATCAACGTTACAGTATTAATTTATTTTTATTTATTTTTTGTCATGATTTTTATTAGGACAAGCTGGACGTATACTTCTTCTAGCTGTATTATAGCCTGCTTGGTTGTAGACGTTATTTCGTTTATTTATTTATTAATCTTACAGAAATTACAGCCTCATAAATTACACAATTTACCCCCAAATTGACAAATTGAAATATTTATGTTATTTGATGAAATGCCTAATTTTTGATTCCCTTGCTTTACCTACCGACTTGATCTTTGTGTTTCATTTACTTCTCTGAGGACAGTCTGTGAGCTGTTTGTGTGTGACTCTGGTTAAATTAGAAGTAAGGGCAGTGAATACTCACCAGAAAACGACTGAACCTTTTTAAACGTATCTTTGAGAAGTGTGAGAACAGTGTGTGAATAAGCGCGGGCAGTTGTGTAAAGTGTTGTGCTGCACAGAGACAGTTGAGACAGTCAGTGTGGCTGCGTGAAGCCGTTACGGAGCAGCAGCAGCAGCAGCAGCAGCAGCAGCAGCAGCGTCAGCCTCAGAGTCTGTCCGTCTCAGCCCTGCAGGGACCACACGGACCAACAGGGGGAGACAGCGGTCCAGAAACTCAAGAGGAAGCGTTGCATCTGTGTGCGGGGGCTGCAATGACTGAAACTAAGTAAAAGGGAATTACAAATCATATTAAAAAAAAAAAAAAAAAAAAGTTTTGCTCTACATTTCTGTTTTAGGTCTTCCGTTTTCCGACGAAAACAGTTTATTGATCCAAACAAGGACGTAGTCCAGATTACAGCGCAAAACACTCCCCATTAGAATGATGCTTTTGGAAAATAATCAGGAAGAGACTTGGATGTATCTTCACCCAGAATGTGAAGAGTGAAAGATCATTCTGTGGACTCATGATTTATTTCACCGACGATATATCTTGTGTCATTTGTAACTGGATCATTTTTAAAATCACTTGCTGTTAATATGTCAACGTTAATTAAAAAAACAACAACATAAAAATAGAATAAATAAATAATAGATAAATAAGTGAATAAATAATTGGTGAAACTGTTAAAGATACAGATGCATGAACACATATATAAACTCTTACATAAATATTACATATTCTCAGTGAAGCCAAAGCATTTTAATTATTCAGTCCATGAAAAAACTGGGAGAAAACTAACGTGTTTGTATTGCAACACTAAAACCTACTTCTCTGGATTTGCTCCAACACTTGTTTTTCACTGAACAAAGGACACTTTGTTGAGAGTTCAGTCACTATAATCCATGTATTCAGTTTTAAGAACCAAATCTGACTGCAAGTTATATATAAATATATAAAAATATATAAGTAAGTAAAAATGATGCACACACATGAAATGTTGCTTGATAATGTGTGTGTGGTAAACAGTGTCTTTTGTCTTTCATTGCTAAAAATAATCACTTTGCCACGAAGATAATCTCTCTTTTTAAAGAAGGTTTCCAGTTACATTAAAGCCTTTCAGTCTTTCCTAACCCTGACATTTTCATTAAAAATAGCCTAATGCGCCTGTCAGATGTACCTGCTATTTCTGCTCCTCGTCTCACTAGTAGAGTGGTGGCTGTGGCAGACTGCCTCGTCAGCTCCCCTGCACACAACTAGATGACATACAACTAAGAGGTGCTGTTCCTCCAGAGTTCATGTTGGAGAGAAACAGAGGGGGGATAGGAAAAGTTAAGGGATGTGAGTTGTTTTTGTTTCATCACCGCTTGATAGGTATAATTATGCTGATTTAATGACACTTCAAAGTAACCTGATTCTCCGTACTTGGACAGAAAACCTTGACCCATTTCCCTCAATAAAGTGTAACTCTGAGAGCCGCAGCTCACATCATGCAGAGTTAACGACAGTCCAATGATACTCTTACACTTGGCTTGCATTAAATGTTCCTTTTCTCAAAGGTTTTTTAAAGGGACATGGTGTGTTGTGGGAAGAGTGATGAGCCCTGCTGCCATTTGAGAATTTTCTGTCTGAAAGGCGACTAGTCTCAACATGCAGAGGAGGAAACCCAGTGATGGCTAACACAGAGTCATCAGAGGTGTGGTTGGGCATGTTCGTGCCCCCGCAGTGCTGACTGCAGAGGGTCTGAGGTGCCCTGCAGACTGACTTACGGCAGATCACAGGAGGGGAGGGGGGAGGGGGGGGGGGTGCACAGATCCTCAGGGGCCAGGCTCACAGCTTACATGGAACACCCGCCTGCAGGCAGAGCAGGTCTTGGGAAACTTCTCAGCTTGACTTCGAGCCATGGCGTCAAAATTTTGAGGCAAACACTGAGGGTAAACTGCCAAATCATGTCTTCCACCTTTTCTAGCTCTCTCAGATTCCACTGCAAATGTTTGAGCAGGGCACCTTTCTTTTTATAAAAAAAAAAAATCTTTTAGTGTTGTATATGTATGGATGCGTTATATGTCTCTGTGTGTTGATGCCTTTGAAGTGTGTGTCAAAGCAACTGAATCAAATCCAGCATGGGCTTATATTTCTGCTGATGTCTTCTTTGTCATATTTTTTAGTCTTTTTGATTAAAGAAAATGTTTAAGTGCACAAAGGATTTTCTAGAATTTTAACCAAATAGCTGGTTGATATCACAAATATGGAAGCCATATATTAGGCCATGTGGAGACCTTAGAAAAACTAACACAGATCAGATATTATGCAATCTCTTTTAAGTGCATTAAAACTACCGATGTGTTTAAATGATCTGATCTGATCCATAAAGAATTAGAAGACGTCACCACCTGATAAATAGTGTGGCAGGGCTAGAGGAGGCAGAGGTGGCTTCTACCACTCACAACCCGGCATCACACCTGTCTGAGACTTTCTGCAACTAGCGCCAACTGCCCCAGACATGGCAGAGGACTGCAAGAGGGAGAACTGAGAAAATCCTTTCGGCGAGCCATCTGAACTTTTCTTTCCGGATGCTTCCGCTGTCAGCTCCTCCGTTGGTTTGTTAATTCTTAAAATAAAAAATTTGTATCTCAAATACGAGCCAATTTGGTTGCAGAAGTGTACCCTCTCCCACTGTCAGCGAAGGTCTCATGGGGATGGGTGGGCTGCCCTCACAGGTGTTTGCCTAACCAGATCAGAGCACTCTGGTCACGGGCAACTGTTGACACATGGCATTTTGCAAAGGGTAAAGTTTAAACAGGACTTATCAAGGCCCTGACACCCTCGGAAGGATGGGCTTATATTCTCTGCTCTGACTCTCTCACACCTCCCTGATATCCCACACATAACCACAACAGCTCCCAGTGGCTTCAGCAGTAAGACCGAGGGGGGAAAACATGCAGACACTTGGAAACAGAGACATTTTCAGATGGCATGTTGTTGTTTGTAAAATATTCCTATAGAACAATAAAAAAAAAAAGTTCTATTCTGCATGCACAACTGCCTTTAAAATTATAACAAGGCAATTATTTATTGACCTGGCAGTTGTCACCTCCATCATCAGGTCAAACCAGACTCAGATAACACATGAGATAGCTCAGCTATACCCCTGAGGAAATACAGTCCAACTGACAAAACAGATGTATTCTGGCCTTCACCCCTGTGACCAGCAGTGTGTGGTAACTGCTGCCGCACGCTTTCTTGTATATCTTCTCCTTTCTCTGGCCTCCTCTGGAGATAGTGCCACTGTAATCTCAGCCTTATCTGCTCCTGGCTTCTAGTAAACCGAAACACCTTGGGCACTCATTGATAGTGTATCTGCGGGGAAGGAAATGCGCACTGATCTGGGAATGCAGTGGAACCAATAGTTCTTGATAACTGTCAGCGGCGTTGGACAGGTGCCACCATTGAGCCACAGCTTGATTGTATCATTCAGTAAAAACCATTTTAAAACAGAATGTGTGAAGTTCACAACAACAGTGAAAACATTTCCTTCGGCGGAATTCTTGTTTTCGTAAAACCTTGCAAAGGCACTTGCATGAAATCCAAACATTCCCCCCCTCTAACCTCTCTGACAGTACACCTGAAAAGCACAGAACAATATTGAACTCTGCTGAGTGACTACAAGGTAGCTTCCATGCCTTCAGGTGACGTGACCTCAGAGTCAGTTTAAAAGACAATGAAATGCTATAAAAGCAGAGAGAGAGAGAGAGAGATCTCAGCAGGTCACTCTCCTGCATTTCTAATAATAGGGCCTGAGCTGTAATTATGTCCGAATGACAATGGCTCATTGTCAAAGTGCTGACAAAATGTTATGACATTACCTGAGTCTTTGCAGAAGCTGATAATGTGCTCGCATCCTCAATAGGGGTCCTTTCAACAGAGAACAGGTGACAGGTACAAAGGATTAATTAAAATAACACTGATCTTTGCTGTCGCTGTGATTTACAACGCTGGTAGACGAACATTTAAAGAGACAAAATAACACATGAAGAATAAAATGCACCCTTGCTCAATACACAAATATTTTTATTACAAACTGTAAATCAAAAGGCAGGTTTGATTAAAAAAAAAATGAAAAAAGTTCATTCCACTGATCTGCTGAGGAAGACTGTGAGATGAGGCTAAAAGTGTACCTTAAGATATTTTTATATTATTTTATTTGATTGTCACACTTGCTAAGGTCAAGAACATACTTTTACACTGAAGGATGCAATCATTAAGA